TTGCTCTGGTTATTTTGGAGATAGGATCTCTCAAACTGTTTACCCAGGCTGACCTTGAATCTCGATTCTCCCAATTTCAGCCTTCCAAGTAGCAAGGGTTACAGGCCTGAGCCACCAGTGTCCAGCCTAACTTTATTTAGAAGGTTGAGGACATTCCATGTGACCATCTCAGTGTCTTTCTTCTCAAAATGTTTCTGCTTTATCACACAATACCTCTTTATTTACACTTGCATTAAATGACAACTGTTTTTCTGGCAGAACTCCAGATTAATGGGAGATGATTACATAAGGAAAGTCACTATCTTGGGCTGTTAGATGAGACAGAAACACACCCTTACATTATTTGGGCCACTAAATAATTGTTGCTTCTTTTGTTTCTGCAACTGGCCTACGCTATCTAATACACAGGAGCACACTAAAGTTTCCAAAGCTCAGGAAAAGGTGGAGACCCATACCCCTGTTGGCGGGAGTTAAGTAGAATTCATGACTCAATGAACCATTCTGTATCAGGACTTCGCCAATAAGAAGAGAACTTTCACCCAAATGTCTCAAATATCCCTGACTTTCTCAGGTTCAGTTTACAGGAAACACAAAGAATATATGGAATGCAAAGAGAAGGTAAATAAGGGCACTTCAGCCTCCTGTGTGGATATCTGAACTGACTGAATACTTCAATTTCATTCAAAATAAACTTACTGAGTGCTTATTCTTTACAAGGTAGTGCCATGCAAATAGGGAACACAAAAATTAGCAAAACTCTTTAGGAGGTTGTTATTAAAAAGTTTACAGGCAGGCCAGTTCAACTGTTACACAAATAACTATGACATAGGAAGAGTATAGTGCACACCCCTGGAAAGGTATTATCCAAAGGGTTTGGGGATACAGGGGAGAGAGAAGTCACTGCTGGTTGGAGGTATCTCAGATTTTGTAGGGAAGCTGGGTCTGAGCTATAGAAGGTCATTCCAAGTGAAGGGAATTAAGTGAGCACACACACAAGGACAGAAAGCCCTGGGTGTGTTTGGAATGAGTTTTCTAGCATGGCTGAAGCTTCTGGAACTACAGTGAGTAACACAGGGCAGTGCAACCCAGGCCTATGTTCTTCAGTAGACAGGAAGCTTTTCCACAGGTAGAAGGTGAGGTGGGAGAAGTCTATGTTCCCTGACATGCATAGTCCATGAAGGTAAGCCTTTAGTAGTGGAGGCATTGGCCTAGAGATAGGAAAGATGAAGCACAGACTTATTGTTTTTGGCTTTTTAAGTCTGGAGACAATAAGGGAAGGGATTCTACCTTGAAAGAGGAAATGGGACTTAGTAGGCCAAAGTTCTAGAGGGGCAAAATCAGGCCAGTAGCAAAGAAGAGGTCTGTTGCTCTCTGTCCATCTCAATGCCATCTCTGCTTCCCCTGTAGTGAAGTGAGGCCTTATTGACAGGCACTTCTAGGAATATTTCTGCTTTCCAGAATAAAAATAGGCAGACATTTCTGTCACTGGTTTTTCCTTCTTCTTGCCTTTTTTTCTTCTTTAACTGTCTGGAGCTGAGGCTGCTATTTTGTAGCTACAAGGGAAAAGCCAAGAAAGTTGCAGTGATGCCCACACCAAGATGGTTGAGACTTTAAACAAATAATTCCAACTTCTTGACCTGGGAAGGGACAATGTATGCTCATCCTATAATTAATCTAGTTTGCTGTTGATGAAACTTTTGTAATTGAGTCAATTAGCCGCTGACTTCGGGATTCTGGGTATGGAAAGAAATCCTCAGGTTTCATCCTTGCTTGATCATCTGCATTTATAGAGACTTGGCACAACACACTGTCCTATGATAAAGGTTGTACAATGGGTTGGAACTTACCTTATACTCTTTTTCTTGAAATTTGTGTGGCAGGCAGTCTAAGGTGATAAAATTCAGCAATGCTCAAAGCCAATAGATGTAGGAAGAGTAAATCAACATACAATTATCCAAACCTAGAGACAGTCATTAATGCCATATGAGAGAATGGAATGAAGGTCGGCCTTGCCATTAAGACACATTAAAACAGGGTGCAAAATTGATTAAAAGTTTTGTAACCACTGCCTAAATCATAGAGTTGTATAAGTGTATGTTACACTCCACAAGGCCCTTATAGTGAGTTACTATACTGAGAAGGCAAATTGGAACAATGCTTTTCTTCCTTGGGTTGATATAAATTTTGTACTACAAGGTTTGAGAAATAATGTCTAAACTTAAGACATAGGATAAATTGTTTTCTTTTTAAACAGTATTTGTGTTTAATGTTACAAAATAAATTTTAGTTGGTTTCTTAAAATTTTTTAAAATGATGGAAATCATTTATACACACACAAAAACACACACGTTTGTTTTTTGACTCTTAATCCTTCTGTCTCAGCCTCCTGAGTTCTGGGATTGTAGATATGTACCACCACACCCATGTGCCATTATGTTTTTTAATCAAATTTGGACTACATGAAGCATATAGAAATGATTGTTAAAACCTACATGGAAGATTATAGCAGCAGGCATGACAGCAAGATTAAAACCTAATCACCTAGCCTGATGGTGTGCAATAGTCACTAGCCATATATGTTTAATCAAAATTAAATGACATTAAAAATTCACTTCCTTGGTTGCACAAGTCACATTGCAATTGATCATTACTGCAAGTGGCTGGTGGCTACTGTTTTGGGGACAGCATATGAAGAATATTTTCGTCATCACAGAGAGATCATAGCATTGAAAGTAAACAACTTGAGTTTGTGAGGCTTTATTCAGTCCTTTATTCATTTATAGGAGGCTTTATTCATTCCTTTATTCACTTAAAGGAATGAATAAACAATACAACTTCAAAAGATGAAGAAGAGGAAAATAAAGAGGAAAAGCTGAAAATAGGTCACAGCCAAGAGGTGAGGGTGCAGTGCCACAGTTGAAGTAGAGGGGGTTGATGTGATTCAGACTGCATTTTAGAAAGAACACCAGGTTAACATTATGGAGAATGGGTTGAAATTGGAGGTGGGCTAGGAGTGTTTCCCCAAGGGAAGCTTATTGGAGAGTTGAAAACTCCTTTTTTTTTTTTTTTTTTGGTGGGCCTGGTGTTTGAACTCAGGACTTCATGCTTACAAAGACAGTGCTCTACCACTTGAGCCATACCTCTAGTCCAAGTGTTGAAAACTCCTTGCTCAAAAATTCTGGATTCTATGGTTTCTGGGGTGGTGGTGGGGTATGTTTGTTTCCCTTAGAAGTAGGCTAGTGAAACACCAAAGAGCAGATTATATATGGTAGAAAGTTCTGGGTTCCTATCTTGACTTAGAGTTAGTTGGTTGCTTACCTTTTTGCACATTAATGTCCTCCTTTGAAGAAACTGATTATATCTACTTTGTAGGTTGCCCTAAGGATTCAATTATGTAAGAAGGTAAAAGCATTTAGTACTGAGTCTATTTTGTGTATATGATTAGTGTTCAATATATTTTGGCCTTTTTACCGACTATCAGGACCAACTGTTAATACAGCAATGGATAACTAATACAAAGCAAAAAAGAATTAACTGGGTGAATAGGGAGAAAGAACTGCAATTATGATCAGAATATGAGGTGTTTGAATTTATAATTTCCGACATGAATTTAAACTGCTTATCTGTCCTGGAGAGAGGCAGTGCAAAGAGTTGGTGAGAGGCAAAGAAAGATGAATGCCAAGAGACTGGTACAAAGGTCAAGTTCACTAAAGTGAAATCGAGGAGCTGTAAGGACTTGGATAAATCCTGATCAAAAATATAGAAATTATTCAGGATCATTAGGTACAGCAGTGTGCACTAGATGTCAATAATTTCTAAGAATGGTAGAGTAGGAGTTGAACAAGGTGGACAACCTCAATCAGATGGACAGTGATAAAATCAGATGAAATGTGTTTCCAAGATTACTTTCTTTTGAAGAGTGTGAATTCATGATATGGAAGGCGCACACCATGCTGACCCCAAAACGTGGCCATGAAATACATGAAGAGTGGGAGAATAAACAAACGACCTGTACTCAAAAGAGCTACAGGGAAAGTGGTGTCCAGAGTACAGCCATTTCACTATTAAATGACAGAATACATGTAGGCCCCTGGGCTCCACGTAGCGGGCACTGGGCGAAAAGTAGTTCTCTCTAAACACTTAAATATTTGTAGCCCTGGCCATCCTGTCCCCAACGCCCCCAGTCTTTACTTAACTAGCTGGGGCTCCAAGAGAGGAGGGGGTTTGGAGACGCTCACTTTCGAGTCAGGGACTGCCTCCTCCCATCCCAGGGAGCGCGAAAACCGAAGCTTTTCCTAACTCCCCTTGGAGCAGTAAGGAAGAGACCGAAGAGCTAGGTCATTCTCCCGGGGGACAGGGCACGTCATCCCTCCAAGAGAAATTTATTCCTTCCATCAACAAGCGTTAGTGGGGCGCCTGACAAGCGCTGGATCCCAGACAACTCCCGCCTGCTGGGAATCAGAGGCCACGTTCCCGTCAAGGCCAGATTGGCTGGAGCCTTCACAATGCTTCGACTTTCCCAAGTGCTCTCCATAATCTTTGCGGAGGTGAAATGTCGGAAGTCGGCGCGCACCCTGCACCGAGATTCCTCCAGAACTCGGCCGTGGCTCCCCGACCCGGTCCACATCCTTCAGTGCTTGTGGCCTGCTACGCCACGGTCCACGTGGGGGCGTCGCCGCCACAGGGGGCGGGGCGCCAGGGGCGGGGCCAGAAGGGAAGACGAGGTGTTGGACTCCCATGGCCCCCCGCGCCCCACAGCCAGATGCTGACGTGTCCTTTCCTTCCCACTACACCTCCCGACACCACCTACTTGGGCTGCCCCGGAAGTCCCGCCCCGTACTTAGCCGGTCACCGCAAATCAGCTCGTTCAGCGCTTCCTGGAGAGACCCGCCCTTTCAGGGGCCAGGGGGGCGGAACTTCGTGAGTAGGGTGCCTATTGGCTTGAGGTCCGGCGGGCTCTGGGCGTTAATTGGCCGGAGGGCGCTGGTGCTCTGGCACGCTTGCGCGGCGAGTAGAACGTGTGGTGGTGGCGGAGATCGCGTCTCCTCTTTTGCTCCCAGTCCCGCTGCTGTTCCAGAGTGTCCAGCGCGTTCATCCCGTCCATCGCCCGCAGCCTGTCGCCCATCTGTCCCTCGTCTCGGGGACCTCTCACCAACGTCGCCATCCACACTGACACTTCTAGCCCGGCCGGCCGCCCCACTGTCTGCCTTTCCTGCTCCACACATGGCCTCCTCCGCGCAGAGCGGCGGCTCCTCCGGGGGACCAGCGGTCCCCACTGTGCAGCGGGGCATCGTCAAGATGGTGAGAGCGGGGCCCCGAACCCGGGACCCCTCTGCCGCCCTAGAGCGGGAGTCAGCTATTGACTCCTCTTCCTCTCCCGCCAACCTGCATGGTCTCCCAGATCCCCTTTCCTCTGCCCCCTTCCTCACTTTCCACTCATCCCCTGACCCCCCCTAGTAGACAGAATCCCACCCGAACTCCACTTGGGCTTTGCCTCACGTACATCTTGTCATCAGGCGCCACAGTGATCTTCGTGGTCACAGCTTTAGGATCTTTTGGCAGTTTACCTGGGCAGATCCATTACTGATTCATTAACGGAGATAGGTCGTGGATACCACCCATCCCCCTCCTCCTGTCCATTTTGACATATGCCGAGCAGTTTGCAGTTTTTACAGATCTTGACATCCTCTCCTCCCGGAAGCCCTAGGATTACTTGACCATCGTGAAGCTTTTCTTTTTCCACCGATGCTGTTACTTACTCCAAGTTTTCTCACTTTCTGGCCCTTGTTTTCTTTCCCCGCCATCTCTTGTGTTCAGTCTGCAGGCCTGAGAGCTCCTGATCTTAGTAAACTTTGAATTTCTAGGCCGGCAGGAATCTTGATGATCATATTGTTTCCTCATTTCCCAAGGATAAGGAGACACGTTTAAAGTGACTTGCCTAAGGGCACATGGCCGTTTGGGTTGGAGCCAGGACAAGAGCTCAAGTGTTCTGATTTCCAGTCTAGGGCTCTTGACGCTGTGGATTCTGCCCAATTTTATATGCCTTCACTTTCTACATTCTTGAATTTTGAATTTAATCCGTCAAGATTTACCTTTACTTTCATGAGAATTTTGTAGTACAAATCTACTTTATCACCTGCCCCCTTTATTGTCCTCCCCTATTGGTTCCAAATCTTGGAATCTGACATTTCTTGGTTGTTAGCAGATTTTCTGGTTGCATGGCAGACTGCAACTCTGACGTTCCCATCTGGAATTGCAAATATCTTTTGATACTTGCTTCCAGAAAGCTCACAGTGTTTGCTGTTGAAGAAAGTTTTAAAAATTCTATTTTATTGCTCCATTGTCTTTCACAGGATTAAAATGCCCTGTAGTTTGTGTGTGTGTAAATTCAATTTCAAGATTCCTCTAATTCTTATGTATTTATTTCTTAGGTAATAATCTCTGCCATCTGAGATTCTTGGGCTATTCAGTATTGTCTTTTCTCTTTATTTATACATAGACAGAATTTATCGGAGACTGAATGAGAAAGGAATTTCCAAAGTTCACATATTTTGCTCAGAAATTTTCCAGTATTTCTTTGAAATATTGACCTGAACCATGGAAGTATTTTCCTGAAGAGGCTCTAGTTTCATTAACTTTTTCCTTTATACTCATCTTCTCTTCATAGGAGCAGAGCATTATTTAGCTATCTGATAATGGAATTGGTGGCATGAATTGAACTTTTGAGTGTTTTCCTTGCTAAGGCTTGAATTTTTTCTTTTTAAGTTCTCAGTTTTTTTTTTTTTTTAATTGGTACTGGGAATTGAACCTACAGCCTCACTTTAGCACTGAGCCATGATCCCAGCCCTATGTTTATATTTTCTTTTTGAGATAGGGTCTCCTTGGACCTTTGCCCGGGCTAGCCTCTTTTGAGATTCTCCTGCCTTCACCTCCCAAGAGTAGCTGGGATCACAGGTGTGTGCCATTCCACTGGCTTGAGTTTTTCTTAGAAGGCCTCTCTTGTTGGATGGGGGTGGAATGAAGCAGAAGGTATTTTTGCTTTTGCCAATGCTGGAGGCTTCCAGGGCATCTGGATTTGCCTGTTCACATATTTTCACCCCCCCATGGATGCTGAATGTCAGCAGTTATTTGTAGTCATGTCTTAAGCCGGGTCTTCTGTCTATATTATTTCATAATATCTAGCAAGTAGTTTTATTGGTGTTAAGAGGCAGAGCTGAGACTTGAACACATGCCTGTCTGCGAGAGCACAAGGTCTAAAACATACTATGAGGCTTCTGACTCCAGGACTCCAGGGTATTACTTTCTAACATGGAGGGTGGAGCCAGTGATGCATGGCCACAAATTACAGGAAAGTGAAGCTGACTGTAATTGAGTTGAGAAAAGATTAGAGGTTATTCCTGTCTTGTCCAAGAGCTGCTATTGTGGTGAGTGACTTCATTTGGTGCTTATGGTGATTGTGTGCATAGGAGTGTTGTGTGGAAGATGTTTTGAGTCAGGGAGGTGGCATTTAAAATTCTGTGATTTGAGCAGTCTACACTGTGCATAGACTGCACTCTACACTCTGACCACACTGCAGGGGTTGGGTGGGTGAGTTAAAGGCAATGATTAGGGGAGTGAATGACACGCAGATTTGTGCCAAGCTTAGAAGCCTTGTCTGGAATGAAAAATCGACCACTGGCAAATTGCTCTGTGAAGCTCTTCTTCTAAGCAAAGTTGTATTTTCTTGGAGAGTAATCATTTGCCGTGGGACTAGGGATTGCTTTATAAGGACTCTACAAAGGAAGACGGAGCTTAGTGACAGGAAAGTGAGAAACAGTTTGATGAATAGGAAAACGGGGTGCTGCTGTTCTGCCTTCTTGGGGGATAGCAGAAATTGGAACACTGACTAAGTAGAGGTGTACTTTTCACCGGGAGCTGTGGGATTCCTGTGGACTGGAATGGTTGAGGTTTGGCTGCAATGAGGAGAAATAGTTCTTCCTTCCTCATTTTGTTGTTTTGTTTTTTTGGTGGGACTGATGTTTGAACTCAGGGTTTTGCGTTTGCAAAGCAGGCCCTCTTACCACTTGAGCCACGCCTCCAGTTCCCTTCCTTCCTCTTTTTTGGCAAATGTCTTAGATGAAAGTTTCTTCTGGTCTCTGTCTTGCCACCCCAATGAGTCCTGTGTTTTTTTTTTTTTTTTAAGGTTGAAGAAAAGTTGAGAACCAAGTTCTAAAACTCTTCCACTAGTTTTTAAGGAATGACAGTGATGGTAGTAGAGACTGTGTCTGTTATTGAGATTGGGGGAACAGAGTTGATTCTGGAATGTGGTCTTGGAGGAAGTGGGTGGTGAGTTGACACAAGCATTTTTGAGCTGCCTTGTTACTGAAAAATTCAGTGAAGATGATGGAAAACTGAAGATAGATTTACATTTCCTGAGTTGGGATGAGTCTAATGTGTGGGTTGATAAAAAGAAAACCAAATAACTTGGATAAGTAAATGTCTTTGTCAAATCCGATCTTATTTTCTCAATTTCATGAAAGATTCCAATTTTGGGTTTCTTTGAATAATTTGCTAGATGTTTTTTCGATGTAGCAGAATATTGTCAGCAGACAGTATTACATAGATGAGGTTGGGAGAGGTCTTGGTGTTCTTAGTCTAAAATTCAGTCAGTCAGTAGTTACTTACAGATGACTTTTCTCTGGTTTTACTGACTTTGTTTACTTTCTGTTTTTTTCTGTCTTTTTACTTTAACTTTCCCTTCGAATTTGGCACATTGTACGTCTCTTCAAGCAGGAACACATGGGTGCCTTTTGCAGCTGCAGAGTGAATTGGTCACGTTCTTGCTTCTGTGCTTTTTAGAGGCAACTGTGGAAGTGACATGTTTTACCCTGCTTATGGTGTGAAAAGGCAAAGGAGAACAAGGCCAAATCCCAGTTAGTTCCCATTGTTCTCACACTCACCCCTTTCCATTTAATTGCCTCAGAAAGGAAAAGGAACCTGTTTGGCAGTCTTCATGGTTTTCTATTAAGAACCATGATTCTTAACTGGTGACTAAGGCAAAGGGACACCTAAGGAAGGTGACCATAGTTCTGTTTCCATAGGAATTGTGCTGCAAATTTGTTGTAAAGCAAAATGCAGACTTCCTGCTGAGTTGGCTTAGTGGAAATTTGTTCAGGGTATAGCCTGTAGGAAATCTTCCTATAATTTAATTCACTATAAGTAAATGTTTCTTGAGTTTCTGAACTACAAAGTCTTTCAAGAGTTGAGTGGGGATAGTAGTCTGTTGACCTGCCTCCCCTCTATGTGCACTTAGCTTATGCAGGGAAAGAAACAAAAAGAACAAAAAGCCCTTTCCCAAGCTACTTACAATACCTTTATCCTACCATTCAAAGGGATAAGATAGCAGAATAACAATATTTTAGAGGGGCCATTTGCAAAGAAGTAGAACAGGATGAAAAATTTTGCTCTGGAGACTTAAAAAATTGCCATTTCCCAGAAGGTAGGCATGGTAGCTTTCAATCAAGCCAGTAAGTAAAAGAATACTAAGTGATTACATATAAAGGTTTTCTATCATGTTTTTCTCTGAAAAGGAAGTATCCATCTGTCTCTAGGTACGCTAACGGCAGTGCTCCATGTAGTAACTAGTGAAATAGAATGATATGCAATCATATTTCCTTTCTTTGCTGAACAAATATTTATTGATTGTCTGCTGCCTGTCTAGCTCTGCCTTGGGCATTGGAGAAACAGAAGTAGAAAAGCAGATCAGGTTCCTGTCCTTCAGGCTCATGGGGGAGTCAGACAAGACAAGAAAGAAGTAAATGAGAAATTGTCATGTTAGTGCACACGACTGATTTCCCACAGGGGCCTAGGACGGGGTGGGAGAGAGGAAGGGAGGGGCTGGCCCTCTAGATAGTGTGTTGAGGAAAGAATTCTCTCAGAAGATGGCATTTGTACTGGGAGCGGATGGACATCAAAGAGCCAACCACAAGGGATGTGGACTTCCAGCAAGGAAACAGCAAGTTCACAGTCCTCTGGGTTTTTCCATTGATAATTTTCTTTAGGCTTTTTTTTTTTTAATAGTAACTCTTCAGTTTCTTGAAGTTCAGTATCCCACATAAATGGCTCAAAGCTGAATTATTATGTAACGTGTGTTTCAGGATGATAAAAGGAAGAGGCAGTAGAGGTGGCCATTGTTCTGGTATCCTGGTGAGATCAGTAGCTGACATTCAGTCCACTGAATAAATGTAAAGAATGGGAGACTGATAAAATATACTTGCTCTTAGTCAATGGTTGTTTCTTACAGGACCAAGACTAAGGTTTGC